GCTATCAAAATCAATGATGAAAATGCATACTACTTAAGTAACCACTTTTTACAGTGCATACTTTTTATTAGATGTCTGAAAGAAGGTCGTTAAAAGGCCAGTATCCTGACGTGACCAAAATATATTGAGATTAGGCTATACGATCGTCATTCCTACAACCATACATTATTAATATATTTGAATCGAAAACGCATTTCAGAATTCCGGGTGACATTTCATGAGATAGGGAATCTACTGTACACAGCACGTAGTTTGGAAGTCCTAAATGTATAAGCGACGACAGGTCAGGATCAAACTTATTCGAGAAATGGAAAAGTTCTTTTTTCAGAGCTAAAAATACGCTTTCTTGAAGTGTGCAATTTGAAGACGTAAGTTGCTACCAAACTAGTACAAGAAAGAATATTTTGTACACACGTTTCCTATAAAATAAGAACATCGAAAATCCTCAAGAAAAATGCATAATACTTAAGTATTCGTTTTTGCAGGTGGTCGAAAAAAGGCTCGTTCAAAAGCCGGCATCCTAATATGAATGAAATGCCTTTACAACTACACTTAAGTAATTTTTTCGAATAAAAAGCATATTTCCGAATTTCGGTTGACATTTCGTGAGATAGAAAAAGGAGAGCGAGAGAGAGAGGAATAACATCTTTAGATCTGTTTACCCTGCTTGTCACACAGTTAACGCCGAGCGTAAATTGCGTGCACTTGTTCAATCAGGATGGAATGTTGAATGATTCGGCAGACAATAAACAAAATAAGATGACGGGGAGGACCTACCTGAGTGCTGTCGACCGACCGACAAGAGGCGAAGTTCCGTTCACTTGACGGTCTACGGTTGGATGAGATTCGCACTTTGAAGGAGAGACTTCAGTGACGACGTGGGAGGAGGTCGGAGTCCCACAGGAGTCGAACAGAAGGCGAGACAAACGTGCATCACTCTGTGTAGAGTACTCCAGGAGAACTGGCAACGGAATTCGGTTAGCCAAACGTTGGCGCCTGGAGACAATTAATTTCATGCTGTGAAATAAAGAGGAATGAATCAAATGAGCTTAGTAAAACTGCAGTCCAGAAGAGGAGAAGCAACAAGTGTCAAGGCACTTTAGTGAGACTAGAGGTCCTATGTAAATGGTTTTAACCAACCGACAGTTCGACCGTCGTTTTCGACGATGTCCACCGCGAGCTTCAGTAAGTTGAAAGCAAACGCGGTGGCTCAAGCTGGAGTATAGTGAAAGTAGACTCACAGGATGTATGCCACTCTCTCACCACTCGCACCCGGTGTCAAGACAAAAGTCGAGAAGACCTGAGATGAGAGGGGGCGCAGGCGGCTGGCACGACCAACACTCTAATACGCGTCCCAATAGCACACCTTTCCCGCGTACGCGGGAGTATCAAAAAGGCCACATTAAGTAAGAGCCAT